AGGTCAGCTGAGGAGGAGGAGGCTTCATCAGGGCTCTCCTGAGGGTCGTGAGGGGAGGGCAAATGGCGCAGGTCTATATTATATGTGGGATGGGAGGGAAGGGAAGGGAAATTTCTAACGCTCCCTGCCAGCTTCCCAGAAACAAAGTCAATGGGGAAGCCAGCAGCAAGACATAAGTTGCTCACACTTCCACTGGTTTTTTGCCCTTGGTCATTCCGTTTATCTGTTTAGGTAAGGAAATATCTCTGAAAAGATGTCCCAACAGGTCATGGGTTGTCTAGCTTACTTCTAAAAAAAAAGAATTTTAGAATTTCTGAGCAGTCAACAAACAACCAAATTAATCTTAGTGGAAGTACAACAGCAAAAGCAACACCACCACCAGATTTTACAATTATCTAAAGTGCCTAGGTAGTATTTCTCAACCTCAGCAACTTTAAGATGGGTGGATTTCAACTCCCAGAATTCCTCAGCCAGCATTCTGGGAGTTGAAGTCCCATCTTAAAGTTGCTGAGGTTGAGAACTACTGGTCTAGACATTAAAAAAAAACAACACTGCATTTGCTGAGCTCTGACGGGATTACAGAGGAGGTGCCAAGTGAGTCTGTTTGGGGAGGGGCGGGTTCCATCACTGAGATGCTGCAGACAAAAAAGCATGTCCCTCTGTAGCTGAATACTCTAGTAAAGGAGGCCACCCTTCATCTTTTATTGTTTTCAGTGTTTTAATTAATATTATGATCCACTTGCCTATGTGTGTGTATGCACAGAAATCTCAAGCATTATTCACTAAAAGCCTTGTCCTTACATGTGCTGTGAGCAGTGAAGAACCCCAGTTCTATAATGCACACTTTGCCAATCATCCCACCTGCGGGTACCGTGCCTACTATGGATTCCCTCAAGACCTCTGCTGAGCCAGCAGTATCATTAGGCAGGCAGAAACATCTGCCTTAAGGTGGCGGGTGCCAGACATAGTCACCGTCCTCCATTTCCTTTACAGCCTGGCTATTCCACTTCCTTGAG